TTGCCCCGCCGGTTTTCGATCGGGAATATATATACAATGTTAGGGGGCGCTCACCGATCGTTCATACGGCTGGGGTGTTCCTCACTTCGGGCTTGGGTATGGCTGGCTGACGACGGCTAATAAGCCAGAAATGGCCATTCCAGTCTCCCTTGTCTTTGTCGGTAATCCCATTCTGCCTGTACATCATGCGTCGCTGTGCGGCTGCTGGTTGGGCTCGAGAGAGAGCCCTTAAGGCACAACGGAACGAGTGAGTTCCGTATGAACGATCGGTGAGCGCCCCCTACCATATATATAATGGAAGGTAGGCATCCCAAGAACTATATTTGAAGTCGAATTCGGGCTCTCTCTCTAGCCCAACCAGCAGCCGCACAGCGGCGTATGATATAAGCAGAATAGCATTATCGACAAAGACTATCCTAACTTCATGAATCTCCTATAATTTATTTTTTCTACTCTACTTGAACAGTTGTCTGTTAAGTGACAATTGGTTACCCGTTGAAGACTACACTATTTCGAAGGGCTGATCTGACCCCATCCTTACCAAGGATTCAGAGTGGACAGTGAAGTCAGCTGAAGAGTTTTTGTCGCGCATCAAACGTCTCGAAGTAGAGGCAGATGAGGTGATAGTGTCTTTTGATGTGATCTCATTATTCACCTCCATTCCACTCGAGATGGCTATCGACACTATTGACGGCTTTCTCTGGGAAAAGTGTGATGAGACCGATAAACAGCTCAAACGACTTCGCATCATCGAGCTCCTAGAACTATGTCTTAAGACGTTCTTTACATTCAACGGCCAGGTCTACGAGCAAAAGAAAGGGACACCGATTGGCTCACCTCTGTTGGGATTAATTTCCGAAGCGGTTTTGCAGAGACTCGAGCGGCTGGTCTTCAGCTCGTACCCCCCAAAATTCTGAGCCAGATACACCGATGACACTTTCGTCATCATTAAAAGGAGCGATGTGCAGACTTTCAAGTCACTGTTGAATTCAATATTTCCCGACATCCAGTTTACTATGGAAGAAGAGCTCAACAGTCAACTGGCCTTCCTTGACGTACAAGGGACAAAGCTGGTGGACGGGAAGATAAGGACAACGGTCTACCGTAAGGCAACTAACATCAGGCGAATTCTCCACTTCAGAAGCAACCACCCCGTTGGTCACAAACGCAGTCGTGTCAGGGCCCTCTTCCAACGCGTTCAAACACACTGCAGCGATGACAATGGGAGGAAGGAGGAGATTAAGTACTTGCATGCCCTATTTAGAGCCAACGGTTATCCCAAGTCCTTCATATGCAAGCGTGTTAGGAAGCCCCACCCTGAGCGGTCGGACAGAAAAAAACCCGAAACTTTGGCTCGCAATCCCTTATGTGAAAAACGTGTCAGAGGCGACGGCAAGAATCCTGAAGCCTTTCGGGATCGGTGTGGCTCATTAGCCAGAGTCAACAATCAGACATCAAATAATGAGGCCCAAAGACCCGCTACCGGTGACAGAACAATCAGCATACCATGCCAAAACTGTGATGCGAGGTATGTTGGTGAAACGGGCAAACGTCTTGGCACAAGACTGCATGAGCACCAGCTTGCAACCAACCGCAGGGACAAGCTGTCTATGGTTTACGGTCACGTCAACCAGAAGAACCATAATTTCGCCTTTGAGAGGGCAAGAGTAATCGGCCGATCCAATGATAAGATGGCCAGACTGATGCCCGAACATTGGCCCTCGACTGGCACACTCAGCAGAGCCATAGACCTGCATCCAGCCTACCAGGTGCTACGCACAAGGCTCTAGTCAGTGCGGACAAAGCCATCAGGACAGTCGAGCAAAGTCACGCGTGGCCGACAGCCGATGCCAGTGGAAAGTAGGAGAGAAGCCGGCCGAGGGTCATGTGATCAGCATGTGACGCCACCTCACCGCGACGCCCACGAGGCTGAGATCAACTCACATGAGCCCCAACAACTGATCAGTCCGTTGAGTGACGAGGGGGAGGCCGACAAGCATGCTAGCACGTCAACAATTACGACGGTCGCAAAGGGGTCAAAAGTGACACGAGCTCACCTGCGGTCAGTCGTAGAGAGGTCAACGCTAATAGACGGTGAATGGGCAGGTCATAGTTCGTGCCTCAAGCACGGATATAATACCAGGCAGGTATCAAGGCTGAAGCAATCAAGGCCAGCAGGAATAGCCAACACATTACTCTGATGATGGAAACGAGAGGGTTTCAGAAACGTCAGTTCAAATATAATTTGGTTCATGAATTCGCCCTCTCTTTTTCTTCGTCTTCTTTGGGGGATGATGAAC